ATACACATGATTGCATGTACTGTTACTATTACCAAAATGCATTTCAAATCATATAGAGGTTTGATGATATGATAAAAATGCACATCATAGAACATTTTCGAAGTATTTATTGTCGTTATGTATTTAACGTCAGTTCAGTGAACTGTCATAAGTTTCGGTGTCAAATGACTAGGAACGTGTGAGCCAAGTAATACACAAAGCGATTGGATACGAGGATGAGATTAGCTAAGAATCACCACGAACAAACCGAGACAAGTGAATTAATCATGCTAGTGCCCCACGCCTGGGCTAGGGCCCGATGATTTAGTCCACCCGATGAATTGGGCCAGCTTCCTGTACTTGTGCCCGGGACCGCTCGGGCTTGGCCCTGAGTTCTTGATCATGATCTTGAGATGCAAACCGTTCAACGAGCCAGGCAAGTTGGGGGTGATGCTCCTGAGTGATCTAGCTTCAGTCTTGAACGCAGCACAAGTCATCAGGAGAAGAAGAAGCAGAAGCAGAAGAGCTGAAGTGAGAGAGACTCTTGGTCTTGCCATCTCATAAAAGGGAGAAATGCCACTGAGTATGTGAACTGTGGTGCGGGACTCGTGAGGGTTTCTACGAAAGATGGCTGGGTGTGTTTTGGTGGTCAAGTGGTGTGCCAAGCTAATGAGTCTCCTTGTGCCTTTAAATAGCAGGATTCCGGGTCTGCTCAGCTGGAGTTAAAGTCCCTAGGTCAAGAATTGACACTGGGGGATACTTCCAAGTTCCAAGTATCTTTTCTCTAAATTCTAAGTGATTGTTGTTTGTACTGGCTCATTACTGTTAAGAGACTGATTGTCTCTATTTCTATAGTAAATGGACCCCCCATGACAGTTTAAGGGAAGAATAAGGGATCTTTTGCCTTGATACGTTACGTCTAGTCTAGCTCTGGTCTAGCTTCCGTGAGACATTTGCTATTAATCATAGGTATTAACGTATATTTGGCCTAAGTTAATATTTGGGATAAGTATACTGAAAGTCCTAAAACTTGTCACAAAAGTATAATCGAGTCTTAAAGTTTTCAAAAAAGTGCAATCGATTCCTACTACTTTCAAGAAGTGCAATTAGCGGGAGGACTTGATTGGACCAATTCGATAAGTTTTAGGACTCATCCTTAAATCTATTGCACTTGTGCTAATTTTTTTTGGTCGAATACTTGTGCCAATTCCGTTATTAACTTTTTAATATTTTGCCAATTGAATCAATCCGAGCGATTTTAGCTGAAAATTGCTGACGTGGATGCCGGCCGGTTTACGTGGCACTACCGACATCCATGTTAGCGATTTTCGGTTAAAATTGGTCAGATAGACTCAATTGGCAAAACGTGAAAATGGTAATGACTCAATTGACACAATTGATAGGTTTATGACTAAATTGGCACAAGTGCAATAGATTTATTACTTTTTTGGGTAATTTCTTCTAAAATTTCGTGTTACCCAACTTTGTTATTATTCATAGATTGTTTTAAGCAGGATGCTTGTAACACGAGAAAATATTGCATATCACAGTTGTGCCATGTCAATCATGCACAAGTCCACTCACCGTGCGACACGTGTTGCTCGCGGGTAACACAGAGATCTAGATTTGCTTTTCCATAAAGTCGGAATCTTGTCCAGGGCTCTCTTCTAAACCAAACAAATTAAAGGGGTCCATAGAATCTGGTTTTTATTCTCATTGGACGTTTTCTTAGCTTAACTAAGATTTAGCCCCACTTTCAATCTCCGATCTCATTATGGCTCCAAGTTGGACAGAGTAATCAAACCCACAAGGGTACTGTAGCCTTGAAATGCTTCGAGGCGACTTTGTATTTGTAATCGTCATTAAGGAATAGGACGTGATTAACGTTGTACTGATCTCGTAGCTGCTCTAGACCCTATCACGCATCTACCCTAAAAACGAAAGACAGACTTGAGTTTTGGCATTTCGTGGCTACAAAGGAGAGGGAATTGTGCCACGCTTAATGCCCTAGGGATGCTCAAGCTCTCTCTCCTTTCCAGTCTTGCTTTGACCTTGGACGGAAAAAAATTCAAGGGCTCGACCCACAATGCTCTTATATTCCATATTATGAACCCCCCGATGCGTGACATTTGCTTCAAGTTCACGTCAAGCAATCGCAATTTATGCAGTTTCAACTGCGCAAGTTTGGCCACGAATGATCGGGAAAACTATCAGCCTTACACCATAAGAAATCACGAGTCCATCAACAGGACCGAAAGTATTTTAAGTTGCTGGTGCATACGCTCGAATCCACGATGAACAGAGCAATCCTGGAGGTCCATGTACATGGCCAGAAAACTAGAAAGTCCATATTTTCAGCTGGCATCATATGCAGTGGCGACGGGCCACCCATACCCACCTGTCTCCGTCTCGATCTGCATGACTTTTCTCAGGAGTTAGGAGAGAGGCTAGGATCAGGCGGCGGAAGAGGCGATTTGAGGTCAAGGGTGGGGTCTAATTGCTTTACGCAATCTAAAAGGGTCGGCTAAATCTGATCTAAAGGAAAAGAACTCCGCAGTTTGGAACATTTCACTTTCAGACATGGAATGTTGCGCATGTACCATATCTAACCCTATTTCGCAATGATTCGACTCCCACTGAGGAAGTTTTCTCATTCTACAGGGATTAGGAGAATGTAAAACAGACTTTGACATCAATCATTCGAAACTTTGATAGGAACGAATGAGTTTGCGTAACGCTACATTTTCTTTGGGACGACGCTATTTACGTACTCATTTTGATTAAAGATCAACAATTTTCTCTAGACAAAGTGATAATGCGACGGAGAATAAGTTAATATCTTGTTGGGAGTAATGGTGTCATTTATGTTGTGAAACTAATGAGAGAGACGGTGGAAATAAATAACGTTAGTATTCTTGTTCAACATAGTAAAAAGAAGAAGCAATAACTTGAAGAGAGAGGAAGAGTGGTATTCCGATAAGATTACTAAAAATGGAGTATTTTAACTAAAGTGGAGGTGAAAATAAAAGATGTTTGGAAAAAGTGAATCATAACATCGTTGATATCGTGAAAATCGGTTCATGATACCGCGTGATTATGATTTGTGATCCCGATTTGAGTAGTCTCTATCAAGAAGTGCCCTTTCGATAATTAAAAAGTTCCAACGAATTGGAAACCATGAAAGTCTCCCGTTTGTGCTGGAATATCGGGATCAAGAATTTAGGTTGCACGTTCACCGACTCACAAAGATCGAACCATTGGTATGATGCCACGTGGAAATCTCAGTTGACTTGAGTTTGTTTACTTAAAATGGAAAACCCTAGTTGAGCTTGTGCATGCATGCCACGCCTCTCAAATTTCATTTAAGGTTGTCCCAATCTTTCAAGCCATCCCATTGAATGTTGATTCCCACCCGATTTAGATCTTGTCAATGTGATGGGGACGGCTCAAACTGTAGAAGTAGATTAGCCCTATTCTGTCTCGGTTCAAATATGACTGTAACGAGTCCGACGACATCCCTTTCAGATTTCATTATGTAAACTCAACCATACGAGTAAATCTTACTCTCTTGCTGAATAAACTAAGTTACGAGGTCGAAACATCTTGAAGGGTGGTCCGGAGTCTGTTTGCACTAATTAATTTCGCGAAGATCGGATAAGTATTATGCGCTTCCTTGTTCCCTTCCTATATGTGGGCACTATCAGCTCCAATTTTTCTGGAGTAATTTCAGTTTTACGGGGAACCGGCCATATGATAGGAACCCTGCCTTGCACATATAGCTAATTCATGTGGCGGCACCTCGGCCAATTCAAACCCCCACATGCCTTTTGAACATTTGACAATCTCCACTTTAAAAGTCAAGCAATGGGAAACCAACGCCTGAAACTCGAAACACCCACGAACAAATCTTGCTTCTTGCACAGAGCACGCAAAAGCTTGTGCACAATCAATCTAACATGGCGAGACAAGCAAAGTCTGTCAACCTCCTTTTCCTTTTCCTTCTACTTCTGCTGGTTTTCTTGTTTATGTCCATGACTTCGATGGCGGAGGGTCGGCCGTTGGAGGCTTCGAGCTTGGATGGGAATGTTGTCGGAAGGGTTGAGCTTATTCCCAAGGGGTTCTCTCCAGGGGAAGCGAAGAACTCGGGGCCAAAACCCGGTGGTAGGGGGCGTAGTTTTAAACAGCTTGGAATTCTCCGAGGGATCAAGAACTCCGGCCCGAGCCCTGGCGAGGGACACGGATATGTTAATGGCAGGAATCAGTGAGTTCATCCATGTCCCACTCTTTGGAAAGGACGAAGAATTAGTTCCTAGGTTATCATGCTTCTGTAAAAACAACATGGAAGTTCTCATTGGGGGAAGAACGCTGAGCATTTCTGCTCATATTCAACTGTTTCTCTCTTCCTCTTTTTGTTGGGCTATGTAAACTTGGTAGTTGTCGAAGCTTGACTGAAGATGTCATTTATCTATTTCATTCTGCTCTCTCATTTTTCATGTACACACCTACGATGATGATTCACAGTTCGACATCAATGACAGAAACCAGCCATCACCGCGCTTATGAGGAGATTCAGGCGTCTTTCTATCCTTTTCCTCATTTATATACTTTCCAATTTTGGTAGCTATTATCCAAACGAAAGTCTGATGCAACCCTGCATTACAGATGGGTGTTTTGCATATCCCTCAATTAAATTATGCTTAGAATTTACGTATCTGTGATTACCATTTTTTCAACCTTTTCAAAGGAGTGATTATTTATTTTGATACGGGGGCCAATAGGTTGTATTATGCTTTCATTGCATAGATTCCGTACCTTCCAACTGAAACATATCCCTTGGTCGATAACTAGACGAATTTTCGAAGAAAACAGGACACATGACCATTAGCATTTGCCTCGGAGACCCGGGCTTGGCCTCCCCGAGCCATGTCAGCATTCGCCAAAACCTGGCCCAGTTGTCGGTCTTATCGCCATCTTTATACTCAATTTCAGTACTCAAATGGTTCATCCGTAAAGAAATCCAATGGAAAAGAAAGGCAATAACTTTTCATTACATGACCACAAAAATGTGACTAAAATCACATGTACAAGACGTTTTTGGTAACCTCACTCATTTACGTTACACGGCCAGCTTCCTAGTGATGATAGCTGCTAAATGGTCAATAAATTATGATCACAGTAACATAAGAACATGGTTGGGAAAAGAAGAAGTACTATACGGATTAAACTCTACATAAAAAATTTGTAGACCTTAATCTTCATCTTCATAATCATCGGAGTAATTCTCCTCACTTTCTTGCTCATATATCTGAAACTCTCCATCGCTCCCATCGGCATTTTGCGCATCAAAACCATGCTCCGTGGATGGAAAACTGCCAAAGAGCTCCTGCAAGTACGTTCTAGAGATGTTTTCCATAGGTGCATCTGCCAATATATAGGAAATTGACTATTTACTGGTCTATATTAGCAAACATTCACTGAAACTCGTGTCTGAATAAAAAGAGCAGCTTTCGAACTTTCATGAATAATGGATTTGGATTTGAATATAAACCAAGGATACAAGGAAATGACTGTAGAGATATGTCACCCTCCTCAGCCACCTAGAAACAGGGAAGCACAACTTCAATCGGTAAGGAATCGAACAACATGTAAGAGAGACTGAAAGGGCCGTTTAATTTGCAAAAAAAGAAAGCTGAACAAGTATGAAAGAATCACTAACGGCATATGCATCAACTTCCTCTTCTCCAGCATCATCAATCTCTTCTTCCTCTTCATCATTATCAGTATCTAATATTGGATTTTCTTCACCTGAAGATTACCATCCGTCATTCCAAGTAACAACTTAAACAAGAATTTCATCGCTCTTCTACGAGCTCCACAAAAATAACCTTGCGGTGGGGAAAGGCAACATAAAAAATAAATAAATATATTAGGATGGAAAATTGATAGTGACCTTTGTCTTGTTGGTCTTTCTTTTTATCCATCTTCACGGTGTTGTCAAGAAACCGCATCTTTTTGGACTTCTCAAAGCGTTCTGAAGCTAGTTTCGAAAAACTCTCTGCACCGGGTTTTGGGTACACAGACAAGACTCTCATCATAATACGTTGTCTCAAGCTATCAAGTACAGGTTCCGAGAACCACCCTGTTTTAAACTGCAAAGGACAACAATGGAATTTGCCTAAAAAATAATCCAACAAAGACAGAACTGGTTTGTTTAGATATTACAACCATGTCTTAGGGTTGAGTAAATAGAATTGTGGGCAAAGCATAAAGAAGGATTAGGGAGATGCCAGACAGGGAAGGTGAGAGAAGGGGTCAAGGCAAGATGATCAGCCAGTTCACATCTATCCAGAATAACTAAAGATAAGCTTACCGTGCAAGTACTCTTCCCTGGGGAATTCCTTATCTCTTGTTGAATGTATTCATCAACAAGTTCACACAGTTGCAACGATACATGGTTCTTGCGAGGGAAAACACGAAAAGCGCATATATCCTCCCACCTAGGCTCCAACCTATAGACAAAAGAAGGGAGAGAAAGATATCATTAATAGTTAGAAGTCGGTTCAACAAAAAAATGCGGAGAGCATGTGAAACAGGTTAGTATCCTATAAAACAACACTTTCTAGTTTCTACCAAGGCAGTTCAACATTACTGCTGCAGAGTTGATAACGGTAATAAAATTTGCTAGAATGACCAAAAGGGGCTGTAAAAAGAACTTACTCATCATTTGCTGTTAAATCATAATTACTTTGCAATGGTTGTGGCACTCGAAAACCGATTCCTTGATATCTGTTTTGTCGGCATTAACAGATTAATGCATAAGAAAATAATAACATGATAACTTATAATATCTAAATAGGGGTTTTGTCATGGCAACGGCAACAAAATATACTGAGAGATATCGAACTAGAATTACACAACACGACTAGTTCGGAATTGACACGAATTGAGATGACTTCACCCTTCTGACAAAAGTACTTCTAAACATGTTTAAACATTTTGGCGATGGCACAAATGACCGACAAGAATATGATGATGCGAAACGAATTGTCACCCCTACTTCCAATCCCTATCGCAACTTGTACATAGAATATGTACTATCCAAAGAAACAATAAGTCTCACCCTCTCTCCCCCCGGCTCCTTGTGTTTCAATCACTAGAAGCATAGGAACAGAAAACAGACTAAACATATCGATCCATGTTTATCTTTTGACTGACCTATTTCACCCTAAATTCCTCGTCGGTTTCGCCTTGCATAGACATCTCCAGAACATAGTGGAAGAACAATGTGAATAGAGAACGATCGCAACAAAAGAAGAACAATGTGAATAGAAAAGGATCACAACAAAAGATTTGTTTTAATAGAAACCTCACATGCGAGAATCAGGATCTTCACGAGGATCATATCCTTTCCTTATCCAGAACTTCAGAAATGGCCCATTATTGAAATAGTATGCCACATTTGTGAGAAGGCTGCAAGATCTGACATATTAAAGGAAATTATTCGACATTTATCTGACAGAAGAATAATTAAGATCATCACGTACTAAAATTTGAAGACACTTCCCGAAATAAGAAGAATGCTGACTACCTTTTGAGCAAAAGAACTCCAAAGTTCAAACCTCTACCTAGCAATCTGTCATAAAGAGAATTCTTGGACCATACGGGCCGCTCCTCGAACAATTTAGACACAGCCAATTGACTCTCCCACTCATCTGATCCTTGTATTAGTCGCTCCTCCCAATCTATTATCTTTGGGATCTGTATGGATGATTAAGTGAAACAGATATAGAACAAAAATAAATCTGCTTGTTGCCGTATGAATATGTGAATTACACTAAAAATGGTGTACAAAATGAGTATCCTGAGTAATTCAGCATACTGAGATGGGCGGGTCATGTTCAAGATTCATTAAAGAATATGAGATTGCCACATCACTCGGTATGCTAAGTTTGGAAACCATCTTAGTATACCCATCAACCACCAACATTCAACTAAGAAATTAGGATATCTTTGATCTTGAAATCAAGTGCCAGACTGTTCTCCACAAAAACCTGCAAAAGAAGGAATGCACCCTCCTTAAATTTGTTGTACAGATATGATTCTTTTACTTTACTGTTCCAAAATCAATCTTTTCAGATGGTATTAGTGAAAATAGGCCTGCAAAGTAAACCTCAACATGCTCAGCGGCTGTATCCTGTTTCCTTTTTAAATTTGAAGTGGTTGGGGGACGACTTAACCTGAAAAAAGTGACAAGAACAGAACACATGTTTGAAAAGGAGGATGGCTCTTGATGTTTTTCTACTTATCCATAGAACTTAACGAATCATTCTCAAAAGCCAAATTGTCTCTGTAAGAATTTATAGTTCCTCCTTTTTGTTATTATTCATCACTTCTTATCGCCATTTGGTATTACCCATCCTTCATAGTACAAACTCATGCTCCCAGGTGTCCTTATTCCCCTCTTGCCTCTTATTTCTTCCATTACCACAAAATATTAATCACTCAGGGGCAATGACAATCATAATGCCTACACTGGATGGGATTCAAATTATACCCAATTGGTTTTGAATGTCAAACGGTTAGTGGTTTTTCCAAATACACTTATGATCAGATTTAGGCATCAATTACACCCAGTATACAACTTCATCAAGCAACTCAATTTTTCAGTGTCTCTCTTCTGCTATTTATTTGATTATGTATACTTTGCTATGAAATTTCCAGTTGAATCAATAGAAAGTACCACTATCAATCACTCAAAGACATGTGATTCAAAGAGCCAAAAGGATAGACAAAAAAAAAAAAAAGAGCCAAAAGAATAGGGTTAAATTGAGAGCCAATTCCATATATAGAATCATAAAGAAGTAGGTCAATCATTAGAAAGGACACAAAAGGAGCAAAGAATCATACGCTAAAGTTGTCGGGACATCCTTGGATGAGAAGAGTGGGGGTACTATCATCATTACATCCTCACTTTCAATACTTGTAAGACCATCCTTTGCTATATAGACCATTGTGGAAAGGAAAATGAGAAATTACGAATAGTAATATTGAAGGACAAAAGTTAACCTATTGACACGATAGGTGATATTAAAAATGTGAGAAAGCTTTTACCAAAGGGAGGCTCCTCAACTTCTCCTGATTTTTTCTTCTTCCTCCGAGCAATATCAGCATGAACAGCAACAACATGCTGATAGTCAGCCATCCCTTTTCGAAATTTATTGGCAACCGTTAGTAATAAAATCATCCATCAAGTAGCCTAGCCTATATGATAGTTTGTAAAGAATGAAACAAAGAGATGCAAATGAATTTCGCTTAACTTCTAACCTTGAAAAACGTATGCCTCAGAGACACGAGCAGCAATATCAGCACACAGCTGCGTTTGATCCTCTTCTTTATTGGCACCAGAAGAACTAGCGCATTGATCTCCTTGCGGACTCATTCCAGTTTCGCTGACAGCACCGTGATCTTGGGTAATTGAAGGATTAGTACATATCTGGCCCCTCTTTGATATTCTCAACAGGAGATTATTGCATCGACGAAGCTCCCCAAAAGTAGGATGGCAAAATGGGTCTTCAGGCCGGAAACGAAGTTCCATTTGGTTTGAATCGGAGCTGCGAGCCTGCAAAGTTGATGCTTCCAGTTGATATGTATGGCCCCATAAACCTTAAAACGACACTGCTAAGAATGCAAGAGATCGAGGCCACACCTTCAAAATCCCTTCACTTCCACCAAGAGTTTCGATAGCCCGCGAGGCAGAGGACGGATAGCCCGGATAGTGGACCACAAATGTCTTAGCGCTTGGCAAACATCCAGAAATAGCTCCATCCTTTATTTCTCCCATTGTTTGTTGTGTACGGTAACTAGGAAAATAGAACGTAATAAGAGAGCAAATCAGTAAGAACAAGAAAGAACTCTATCCAAACTCCAACTAACTTAAAAGATCAATCTCTATTTTCAGGGACTAGAGTAGAGGTTTCAGCTGAAGTATACAACTGCACAGACTTACACATAGGAATTAATTATCTAAAGCGAATCACCACCTCGTCGAGGAATTTCACCGAACAGGTGACGAGCAATAAGGGAAGACTGACAGTGCAGGGAAAAACAGGTATTAAGCACGGAGGAATCATAGGCAACTGATCTTTCTCAGTTTTCTTATGCGCGCTGCATGTTAAATCGAACTTTATTCTGTACATCTGAACATCCATTCATGCCAAACTACGACGAAAACAAAAAAGAACAAAACCCAATGCCAAGCCGACCGAAACCAATCTCAAAGGCGCGAGCTTTAACACTGACGATCAAGCGAAATCACCGATGCGACGACCCAAGAAGCAACAGAAGCAAGGGATGTATAGGCATTATCAAGAACGCCCTCAAACATAAGAACTAGAGAGCATCGTGCACCTTTTACACGCGTGAAGAAAGGAAAGGGACGCGCGTGCGCAGTTGGCTTCAGGTCCGAGGAGGCGAGTACGACGTTAGAGTTAGTAGTCTCCTCTGTGGGCTTGAGATACGAGAAGAAGCATCTTCTTTGATGCCACCATTCCAAACAACCCCGGAGAAAAGGCGTGAATGAGATTTCGAGAGCCGGCGTTAAAATACATTGTCAATTTTGCTTTAAACCATTTGAACAACAAAAGAAAACTATTTTTTTGGGTTAATAGCACGAAAAATTCCAAACTGATACATTTATGATAAACTTATCAAAACTAATTTTTTGACCACAAAAAATCCTAAACTAGTATAGATACACCTGTGACAATTTTACATTCAGTTAGTTTCCGTTAAATTTTACCAGTCAAATTTCTGAGTTGAATGACATGTGACAGTTAATGGTGTACCAGTTTGGGGTTATAGGTGTACCAATTTGTGATTTTTCGCGGTATTCATCTATTTTAATTAAGGGTAAATTTGTCACAAATGTACCAGTCTGGGGTTTTTGATGGTCAAAAAATTAGATTGTGGTAAATTTATTACAGGTGTACCAGTTTGGGGGTTTTCGTGATATTAATCCTATTTTTTTGTTTTAAACCTCGAAATAAACTGAATGAAGCTCAAAACCAACCAACGAGGCCCTAATCCCTTCAAAACTTAATTAAACCCAAGCCCGGCTAAGCTTAGTCAAATGATGGCAAAATTACCAAAACATTTTTAAATCTATTGCAATCGTACTAATTCAATCCTAAAACTTTTTGTATTTGTGCTAATTCAGTCCATCCGGCCAATTTTGGCCAGCCGGTGCTGACGTGGACACTGGCCGGCGTTAGACATCTGACCAACATTGACGTGGACGCAAGGCTTGACCTCGCGAGTTGCCGACGAGTTTGAACCTCACCATCTCACCGAGCAGTTTAGACAAGTTTTCCGGTCATGCAACATGGCGCAAGATTTAAATTTGCCCTCTTTAAATTCCTCATGAGCTAATTGAAAATTTAACGGGGAATGATATGTTGTAACTGTTATGTGTTAATTGCTCAATATTAGTGCACGTGTAACTGTTATGTGTTAACGGCTCAATATTAATGCAAGTGTAACCATTTTTTTCCCTCGTCTATAAATAGACGTGTCTTCTTAGTTCAAACGAGATATAGAGAAAGAAATCATTGAAGTACTCCAAGAGCATCTCTTGAGTTTTCTCTTTAACAATATTTCCCCAAGTGTGTCGATTTTGAGAAGTGTTCGACAGAGTCCTATTCGTATAGTGCTGATACAAACAGGTTCGAGATGTTGTATCTTGGAAGGCATAGTTCGTAAAACTGTTTAGCACCGTTGGCAGGAACTAATCGCCTTAAGGAGATTCAGTTATCCGTACCTCACCTCTTGTTTTACTTTTATTATCACTTTCTCGAATTTATTCTTGTTACAACAAACAGTGTTATGTATCTTCCTCCAATACATAATTTCTTCTTCTATTTTTTCCAACATGATAATCTAATTTAAAAGGGGTAATTCCACACTTCAATCATCAAAAATCATTCACCAAGTATCATTTGTGAAAGAAAAGTACCAGATGAATAAATTGCTAATCTAACGTGACTTAAGACAGTAGGATGATTATCATACATGCAGAAATATCTACTGAAGTATATTACTTTAACCGTATAAATTGCATAAATAACATAATAAATTTTGTTCGAAACATATTCTCCCAGCTATGAATGATGCACCTTGGCTTGATCAATCACACCCAAACACACAATATAACTCGTAGAGCTAAAATCTGAAGATGAATATTTTCCTACAAGATGTATAATTTGCACGCTTTATTCAAAACCACACGAAATATAGCGCTATTACTTGTTAAAGAACAAGAGACTGTCGAGAATTTGGAAGGAAGAAAAAATGAAGTATATCACAATGAAATCCTGTTAGCACTTGGCATTATCACCTCCAAAGTTGCGAAAACAACAATAGATTTTTCAACTGACAACAGTGTGGTAACCCAGCGGGGACAAATCGATCTCGTCGTTGCAGATAGAGGAATCGCTGTCAAACTAATTCCCTTCAAAAATAACAAAACTCTCACTTAAAGAAGTTAGATGATAAGGATGCATGTTGTGTTGGCCGTGATAAACAACTCCTAAGATCTCCATAACTAGAACCTAGAACACATATAATCGAGTAAAAGAAATTTGCGCACCTGATTTGGAATCCATCATTTTTTATGCGGAATAGCGACGATCCTCAAAGCAAGTTTTCTCCTCTATCATCTGTATCACTGGCTCAATGAGACTACCTCTCACAATTAGCGTTACCTCATTATGTGAGATAATTTTGTGAATTAGGGTTAGAGGAGGGACTTGAGCACTATTTATAGAATTTTAAACCAGGTCCTCTCATCATAGGCCGGGCCTTACTCGGCCCACACTAGCCAGTTCCATATTAGATTATTTAAAAAACTTTATATTTGACCTTATTAGATCAATCCCGTAAAATGGTAAATTACAATATCAATTAATGTAGCCCACGTCAGAAAAACTCTTACATCTTGTAGGTGTTTTTTCTGCACCAAGCAATCTCAAAGGCAAACAATGAACTGTATATGTACTCCTGCAGGGATATCTTCGAGTTTCAATCCCTCAACAAAGAATAATTTCCTGCAGCATTAGCGCAGTGTCAGTTTCCTGAGCCTAGAGCAAAGTTAGCAACGCTGGTTTAGGTCTGAGACAGCAATTCAGGGATTAAACATGGTCATTCTTCACTTTTATCGGAAAATTTCACATCAAATCAAATATTTTTACCCGGCTTTGGTGGAAGACAAGATGGGATGGAATCGTCATCATATGCAACAACAGACAGGTAATTGGTTTCAGTGTCGGGTCGCATGGACTGCGTCATGGAAGAGCGCATCTCAATCTGACATGTAATAATGTACAAGAACAAGTAGATGATCAAGTTGCACTACTCTTAAGAGGTAGGTTCAGAGAAAAATGAATCTGTGTAGTGCTTAAAATCCTGATGGCAACATATGCTTGAGCATTTTCTTACACGAGTCACGGGCCAATGTTGCAGATCGAGATCGTGCGGCAACTTAAGTTTCATTTGGTTTGTTGGGTCGTCTAAGTTAAACCTTGATCCCAAGGATTGATCGCTCGCTCACTAACTCACCCGAATTATACAGAGAAGAAGTGTTTATAAAGAGAAGTTTTAGGAGAGATTGTAATACAAATGGGAGAACACCCCTATTTATACATGAGGTCTTTCAATTACTACCGCCCCAACTAATGGCTATCCTGTTAAATACAAGACTACCATTTACCTCATTAAATAAAATAATATCTTGAATGCATTTTCAAGAAACCCAGCCTTTAGTAGTTTAAGGCTTATTCCGTTCCCTCGGATCTTTTCTCGGTAGATTGAGCCTTGAAAACCTCGGTGACATTCTCCTCCGGCCAATCGAGTGACGCCCTCGGTGCTCTCAACTCGGAGTCTTTCGCTTGCTTGATTGCACCATTCTCTTGGATCATCGGTTTTCTTGAAGGTTGGCGATTCTTCCGTTTCTGATGCTGCTTGGTCTTTCCCCTCTTGACTTGTCAGCTACATGGCTCTTGAATCCCAGCTTGTTCCACAAGCAACTCCCTTTGGGTATCAGAGCGAGTTGTAGAGAGCATGATCGAGAGAAGTTCGTTGTGCGCATCAAGCGTTCGAGAGAATGTCGAACTAAAGGTTGCCCATGTTGCTACACTTGATTAGGTCCAATTGGTCGAATCGGGCTTCGGTCGAAATGGGCCGAATCGGGTCGAGTCAATCATGTTGACTCGGCCTGACCCTATTAGTCCCTTATTGTTGTTTCAACTAAATTTTGCCAAATTAACAAGGTTTTACCAAATTCGATAATGATTTAGTTTGGATTAATCGAATTCAAATTGGGTTAATTGGTATTATTTATGAAGGACCGCTAGGAGCCTTAAATTGGCACTTGAGAATTGGCCAATCCGTTTCAAGCTTGAATTCTCAAAATTGGCTTGAAATTTTCATGCGTTACGACCCTTGGATCAAATGTCAAGAATGAAATTATTTTGACTAGAAATAAAAAAATTTAGAGGGTCAAAACTATCGATTTGAGGGGAAGAAAGGTTGCAGAAAGAAGATAAAGAGAAAGAGAAATAATGTTTCTGAAGCCTAAGGTCATGCTCGATAGGTGAGGGCAAATGCCTATTTATAGAACATGTAGGCGTGATTATATAGTGATGCTACAGTAAATAGTAAACAGTAAATGTGATTTGTGATTTGTCCATTATGTTCTGCTACAGTATTATTATTCGTGATGATACAATTTTTTATTGCTATCATGTTCTTTTGGTGATTTTATTCTTCTTCCGATAAATCAATCCCATAGCAGTCATCTTTATTGGTACTCTTACGATGGTGTGATTGGGTAGAATTGTTGTAGTACGTGGATTCTTTAATTTTGGAAATGATTTTTTCCACAACTACAACATATTCAAATGGTGAATTGTACAACTGCAAGTTATGCTGCTGCAAAGGACTTTTGTTATAAAAAGGAAGTATTTAAATGGCCAATTAATGGACTTTTGGATGCTGTGGTGATTGGTTGTATCTCCCAATCAAATTTGAAATTGAAACTATCCCACCATTTGAGAAGTTGATTTCTTCATCAACTTCCGAGTTGAATATTAGCCTGAGAATTTGATTACAAAATCGTCTTTCTCAAAATCCCAATATCTCAATTTTGATTAAGATATATAAAACCAAATGGTGGTATAATTTTAATTTCTTTAAAAAAACTTCAGAAGAGTCAATTATAAGCTTGCTAAATCACCGTACCACACCCCAGTCACCACAGCATCCCAAAAAACATTGACTGGTTCTTCGAACTTCATTTTTATAACAAAAATCTCATATGAATATGAC